GTTTGCTAGGCATGCAGGAGAAACGAGGATAAATGAGATGCTGATCCTTGCACTCACCTTGCAAGGTGGAGAAGGGAGAGTATAGGTTTATCCATAAATGTGAGGGAAAGCACTTTTCTGCTTACATCAGGATGCTGAGTATGATTTACTTTAAAAAAATCATTGAGGATCTTGTAAGGGCCTCCCCTTGCCTAAGTGAGTTGATGGAGAACTGTAAGGCTGCACATAGATGTGTATTGAATTTATGTTTTCCACCCACTGATATTTATATAATAATTATATAATATATATAACACTTACATAGCATACTACTTATATTATGTTATTACTAATATAATTCTAATTCTATATTACTAATTAAATATATGCTAAAATTATTTATGTGTACCATACTAATTATTCAAATACACTTGTAGTACCAATACATATATAATACTAATTATACATTATTCTAATTATATATGATTATGTTATATATACTATTCTTATAAATTATTATATATAATACTCATATGTTATATGTCATATAAGAATGTAAATATATAAGTAGCCTGGATTACTTGTATAATCTCATTTTTTTTAATCATATATATCTTTCTCTTTAAAATGGAAATGGTGCAGATCCCAAGAATGGAAAAACAAGCACCACATGTACTCACCATCAAATTGGTATTAACTGATCAACACATAAGTGCGCATATACAAATAACATCTATTGGATGTTGGGCAGGGGGAGGGGGGAAGAGGGGACGAGTATATGCATACACAAAGAGTGCAATGCGCACCATCTGAGGGATGGACACACTTGAAACTCGGACTTGGGAGGAGGGCAAGGGCAACATATGTAACCTTAACATCTGTGCCCCCATAATATGCTGAAATAAAAAAAAATGGAAATGGTGCAGTTCTGCTCAGGTCAGAGCCTGCATATGTTGATTAAATCTATGCTTGATTCCAAGTCTACCATACTAAAGGACATGAAGGCTACAAAATGATTGGGGAGCGATGCTCCAATACACTGAACTCCTCTAGTTCCTCGTGCATCCATCCCACCAGTTTTACCAAACACCTGCTATGCACCAGGCTCTGCGTGGGCACTGGAGCAGAGAGCCAGGGAGACATGGTGCCTGTCCTCACAGAGCTCACACATGGGTCAGGCAGCAGCCAGAGAAGGCTGTGGTGGCCACTGTCCTAGAGGAGGGAACCACAGGTGGCTGGGGGCACAGAAGAGGGCAACCAACTCTGTCTGGGACGCTGGAAAGGATTCCTGGGGGAGATGCCTGTCGGGGAGTGGCTCTGATTTGAAGAAGAAAGAGGCAGGAAGGGCATGACGAGTGGTGGAAAAGCACGTGAGGAAACTGGCATGGATGCTGAAAGAACACGACTTTGCAGGAGGTGGAGTCAGAATAGCGGCTGTGCTACTATTGCTGATGGAACAAGACCAAGAAAAATAGGAAGAGTAGTCTTAGTAGCAGTGATAGAAAATGTCAAATATTTATTGAGCATTCACTGTTCTAAGCTCTTTGATGCACTGTATCATATAACACCACAACAAACCTATCCTGCATATAGTATTACCATCCACCTATTTAAGATGAGTGAACAGAGGCGCCGATATATTGGTCAGCTGGTGAGTGCGGCAGCCAGGAGAGAAGCAGACCAAGCTCATAAGATCAAGGCCACTTGTTACTCTAATGGCCCTGGCCCAGGCTCATTCTGAGAAGGCCACAGATGAGGGCTACATGGTGCCATGCTTGTGGCAAATGTTGACAAGTGCTGGCTCAAGTATTGGAAAAGTGGAGGGACGTGAACGAGGCAGATGGGGTCAGATCAAGGAGGCCCGAGCTTGGGTGATAAACGAAAGGGTGTGCATTTTCTTCTGAAAGTGGTGATAGGCAACAAATAGTGAAATGCTCCGTGATGTGTTTGATAAAAATGACTGTGACACAGGAAGACATGTGGAAACAGGCTGGCCAGTTAGAAGAGAGTCGTCAACAATCCAGGGGAGGAAATAGGATGACCCAACTGGGAAGGGAGAGTTAGAAGAGAGGCCGAAGAGAAAGAAATAATGCAACTGCTGACTAATTGGATGGGGGGCGAGGGAGGAAGAGGGGCCCAGGGTGGCCCAGATTCCTGGGTTTAGCAATGAGTGAAGGGTGCAGTCCAACCGCCTGAAGCAGGGAATGCGGTAAGAGGAATGCTATGGGCTGAATTACATCCCTCCCGAAATTCATATGTTGAAGTTCTAATCCCCAATACTTCAGGATGTGACTCTAGTTGGAAATAGAGTCTTTACAGAGATGATCAAGTTAAAATGAGGTCATTAGAGTGGGCCCTAATCCACTAGGACTGGTGCCCTTATAAGAAGGGGAAATTTGGACACAGACTGTCATAGAGGGAAGATGACAGGAAGAGACACAGGGAGAAGACGGCCATCTACGAGCCAGGAACACACCCTTCCCTCACAGCCCTAAGAAGGAACCAACCCTGCCAACACTTGTTTGTGGACTTTGAGCCTTCAGAACCATGAGAAAAGAGTTCTCATGTTTAAGCCATCCTGTCTCGGAATTCTGTTACAGAAGCCTTAGCAAACTAACACCAGGAGTAACTCAGTTGGAGGTGGCCACGAGTTATGTTTGGGATCAGGTGAGTTTGACGTGTTGCTTTGGGACAGCCAGGTGTAGACAAAATGCCAACATGGTACTTAGAGATGCTGGTCCAGGACTCAGTGGGCAGCTGGGGACTAGAGATGAACATGTGCTCGTCGATTCTGACACTCTGGTATCTACAGCACAGCGTGACTGGGACATAATGGGAATTTGAAAAATAGTTGAATGAATAAATGTTGTTCTTGCCTAAGGACAGAGGGCAGGAGGGACTACAAGGATATTGGAACTGATTCGAATTTCCCATCCCAGTACTGAGAAGATTAGCGCAAGCCCTAGTGACACGAAGATGTAACTGTGGCATATCTGAGGCCAGTGAGTTTTGGAAAATTGTTCTGTTGGTTGCTGATATTTATATTCCATAGGAAGGATAGTTTCCTCTTTGTTCTGTAAAATCTGAGAGAAAAAAATTAAACATCAAAGCTATTCTTATAACAGAGTACTATGGCTTGTCAAGAGTCTTAGGCACATGCCCATGTTCTGAAATGTTGACCTCCAAGTAGTGGGCCAGTAACATGGCTATATTAGGTAGGAACTTCAAAGTCTTCTCAGCTCCAAATGTCAAAATAAGTAGACAGGGTGGCCTAATAGAAAATAGCAATAACTGGAAGCCAGGAGACTTTGAATTCTAAAACTGCCTCTGAAGAAGTGGGTGACCTCAACTTTTCTGGGTCTCCCTTCCTTCATCTATAAATAGTGGTGGGAAAGCGATATTTGGATAATCTTCCAACTCTGACATTCTCTCAATGTTGCCTTTAATTGCAACTGGTGATAAGATAACCTTTCCATAAATTGACCTGCCACCCTGATTTAGTCCACCAGAGTGAAGGCATGAAAACAGGATGACGGGCAGGAATTAAATATCACAGATGACTTCGGTAGAATAATTTCCCTCCTTAAAAATGGCAGCTGGGACACTGGAAGGAGACAGTGCTTGGTTTTAGAATGTATCTCCATTTCCAGCAAATTGGGTTTTACTGGAAGGTTTCAGAATGCACGTGACCACGGTATTTTCTCCAATAACTTAAATTTCAACCACATTTAAGGAGAATATGGAAAATCACCCACTCCTGACTGCATTTGTGATTTCCTCTGGACCATTTCATATTTAAAACTCATGTTGACCTTTTCTTTCTATGTCTGGGCATCTCAGCCCTGAATGCAATAAGCTCCTAAGGGGGAAAGATAATTAGGATTTATTGGGCATCTATTTAGTGTCACATTTTGTGCCAGGTCCTTGACCTGTGTTATGTAATACCTCATTTAACGCCTCCCTGGAGCAGATGCTGTCAGCACACCATAGCTTCTCTGCACTCAACTCAGCCTGCTGAAGGCTGCTCGCTGAGGTCTTCTGTCTGGCCATGGGACCACACTTAGCCCATGAGAACAAGCGGATGGGCATATGCATTCCTACTGCAGAAGCAGCACTCAACCAGTAGCAGATGGAAATTTGCTGGGTCAATACACCAGCTTCCTCAACCCTTGATTGGGATAACTCGGAGCATGGAGTTTTCCAGAGAGGTTGAACCATGGTGGATATGGTCCTGATGACACAGCTTTTACTGGTTGTCTTCCTTTTTTATCTTTTTTTTTTTTTTTTTTTCTGAGACAGGGTCTCATTCTGTTGCCTAGGCTAGAGTGCAGTGGCATCATCATAGCTCACTGCAACCTCAAATTCCTGAGCTCAAGTGATCCTTCTGCCTCAACCTCCCGAGTAGCTGGGACTATAGGCATGCGCCCTCAGGCTGGTCTCAAACTCCTGGCCTCAAGCGATCCACTCTCCTCAGCCTCCCAAAGTGCTAGGATTATAGGCATGAACCACTACACCTGGCCTTTTTTAGTCTTAACACCATGCTATTTCCTGAGATCATCTTCCAAATAAAGTAGTTACATTCAAATCTTTGTCTCAGGGCCCTTGACCAAACTGAGACATCCCTAAGACCCCTATGGAGTAGGTAACATTACTGCTGATTTACAGCTCAGCGTGGTTAAGTAACAGTTGTTAAGTCTTGGTGCTGAGTTTGTCTGACTCCCATTCACTTTTCTCTACACCAGTGATTCTCACCCAAGGGAGTTTTTGTTTCCTGGGGGACATTTTGTAATGTCTGGATGCATTTTTGGTTGCACACTGGGTACTTCTACTAGCATCTAGTAGGTAGAGACCAGGGATGCTGCTAAACAGCTGACAGTGCACAGTTCAGCCCCTACAACAAAAACTAATCCAACCTGAAAACTCCAATGGTGTCGATTGAGAAATCCCGCTCTTCCCCTAGCAGGACTGGTTGTTAGGTGGTGGCTCTCATGTGTGACTTGTCTATTGTCTTTCACTTCCAGGGCCAAGCTGTGGCTCAGTTGTGTTCCACTGTCCCCAACGTGACTATCTTTGGAACAGCTTCTACTTTCAAGCATGAAGCAATCAAAGACTCCGTGACCCACCTCTTTGACAGAAATGCAGATTATGTTCAAGAAGTAAAAAGGTAAAGTGTCCGCTCCACAGAGCACTGGGTTGGCCCCTGCTCTTCTCTCAATGAACAGTAGCATTCCTATAAAGGGGGGATAATGATGATGATAATATTAATAGTGATAATAGCAAACATATATTGGGGGCTTAGTATTAGTAGCTTTGTGCTGAATACTTCACGTGTATTAGCTCATTTAATCCTCTTAGCACCCCTATTATTATCCTGAAGGAACAAAGCAGTTAAGTAACTTGCAGAGCTAATGTATTAAAGCCATGCTAGCTGCTATTAGACTGTCTTAACACATAGAGGCTTATTTCTCATTCATTCGTGACAGCCCAAGATGGATGTTTGGTGGACGATTTTCCATAAGGGACCCAGGCTCCCATTCAGGGATCCAGGCTCTTTCCATATTGTGGCTCCACCCTTGTCTTGGGTCTTATGGTCCTTTGCTTCTAGCTGGCAGATAGGGAGAGAGCACTGGAGGATCACGAATGGGAGGTTTTTCTGGGCCAATCCCAGAAGGAACACCCACCCTGCTCGTATTCTAGTGCTCGTACTCAGGTCCTTGGCCACATCTTACTGAAAGCAAAATGGGAAATATCGTCCAGCTGTGCACCTGGCAGGCATGGCACAGGTAGTAAAGGGTGGTCCTTGGAGTCAAACCAGACATTCCAACTTGGGAGCCCATGCTTTTGCTGTACAGATAGCGCCTCTCTAAATCATAAGCTGAAGTTCCCTGTAGGAGGAAGGGGCAGGGAGGAAAGGAATGTCATGTGCATATTGAGTAATGGAAATGCCTCTGAGGCTGAGAAAGCTGCAAAAAAGCTTGATGGGACTCAAGTCCAGGGATGTCTGGTTACCTGCTCTGAGCACAGATATTGACAAAGGGGAACCTGGGGAGCGGGGAACGGAAGTGGGAGCACGAGGTGAGGCTGGGCAGAAGACTGGTGTCGGATGCACATAAAGACCACACACACCAAGCTAGGAAATGTGGGTTCCAACCTGAGTGTGACCGAGAGCCACCAAAGGACCAAAGTGGTGGCATGATCCAACATGGTTTTGAACAGTCACTGGTGGTGTGGAGAGAATGGATGGGAGGGGGAGGCTGGGGCTGGGAGGTCAGGTGCTGGCAGCTGCAGTCACCTTGGGAATGTTGGTTTATAGCCTGGGATCCTGAAGCTGTTGATCTTGGCCATGTGCATGTCAACACAAGGAATCAGACGGAAACTCCAGCTGCACCAGGTTGCAGGTGATTTGTGGGCTCTTCTCAGGGTCCACTCTGCTCACAGCTCCTGGGGAGATGCAGAGACAGCCCAGAGCCATTGTTTCAGCATTTTCAACTTTCCAGCACTAAATCATAAGGTACAAAGAGATATTGAATTGCCCAGATGCATCATAATAAAGAAACACTTTTCTCCAAATCACAGATTCCAGTGGAAAACTGAAAGACAAGTAAATGGAATAGTTCGGTTTTTGAGGTGATAGATTTAGACCAGATTTGGTGAAACGTGTCAAGTTTCTTGGAAAGGAGAGTCTTCTGATGGTCTGAATTTTCACGATTGTTTTAAAATGTTGAATGTAGAGATTTACATATATTTTAAGGTCGTCCCAATAGTTCCAGCAGGAGATGAAAGGAGAGCTTTCAAGCTAGCGATGAGAAGTTCACCCTCTGTTTCTCAGATGCAGGCTCATTTTGAAGACACCCACTTGCCCAGTTCCACAGCTCTCGGGTAGCCCTTCCTGCTTTTAACTCACGTCTCTCAAGCTGTGGTCTGGAAAATGAACTACCACTGTCCCTTCAGTTATCTTTTCTTTCACACTGTTAAGTGCTATTTTTGCAAGCATCCTTTCATGTATTCATGCGCCCACCTGCTCAATAAATAGGTGCTCAGTGTCTCTGAAGGGCTAGGGGCTGTGCGAGGGTGGGGTATCCGGCAATAGGGACCCCTGAGAGTCACTGTCCTCATAGAGCTTAGAGTCTAATTGGAGGAGAGGTGACAAAAATAAAACTATAACGAGAATTCACTGATTCACACTTTTGATATGTGCTCTGGCGGCGACATGCGAGGTGCTAGTGAACGTTTGCCAATGGGAAAATCAGAAACGTCGTGAATCACAGAGTGGGATGTTGAAAGTTGGGGGATGAGAAGTTGGCTGGGGGAAAAGCATTTCCGACTAGGGGGAATGCCATGTGCTAAGGTTCGGGTCAGGAACAGCTTGGTAAATTCAAGAATCTCAAAGGAGACCAGAGCAGCTGGCAGTGGTAGGATGTGGGGAGTGGGAAACGAAAAGGATCAGGAGATGGCAGCTTTTCTGAAAAAGCGATAGCCCATGACCAAGGGAGCTCCTGCCAGCCCCTTTCCCGGGCAGCCACCCCATCCCATCTCCTCATTGTCCTGGACCTGCTCCCTTTGCCCCTGAACCTATGATTTCTGCTGATGTCAGAAGAGTAGAGGACAACAGCATCTGAGACCCACCTCACCACCACCTGCCTGCAGTGAGACTTCCAACAGTTACTGTGCTTTGAAGTAGAGACCCTGGGATTAGACTAAAAATGATGGGGAAGCCACAAATAGGTTCATACTACCTTCTGTCCCAGCCACCCCATCCTCAGGCAATAATGCAGAGGAAGAGAAAATCTGTAGGTACAAAGCTGCCTGCTGCAAAGCCATGTGCTGCTTCTGCCTCATTGTAAGGGCTCAGCAGGTGTCGACGGGGTGAATTACAGCATTGTCTGTGATAGCGGAAATTCAGAACCAGCCTCCACGATCCACAGAAGGGAAACAGTTCAGTAGATCATGCGACACCTACATGCTTGAGTACTGTGCAGCCTCTAAAAAAAAAAAAAAAAAAACAAGAATTATGAAGACTCTGTCACAAAATGAAAAAGTGTCCATGGTAGCATATTGAGTGAAAAAAGCAGAATGCCAAATTCCATCTCCACTGTGGTCACAGTTTTGTACAAATTCTCAGTGCACAGAGACATCAAGTGAAAGGAAAGGGAAAAATATCCGCCTGCTAACATGCAACAGGAGTGAAACACGGAGTGATTTCTTTTTATTTTTCGATCACAGATATTGTTACACTATTATGTGTACGATGAACTAGAAAAAAAATAAGATAAAATTTCTTGAGATGAAAACTCTTTTATAAAGCAGTCATTTGGTAAGCCTCTTTTGAACACATTGTCAGCCTTGAGCCAGGTGTGGTACAGGAAATAGAGGAAAAAATATTTGTGATCCAGACCCTACCTTTGTGTCAGTTACCTTCTCTCTGTTTGGGAGGACAGAGATGACTACAAGGGAAACCAAGCAAAAGAACTAGAAACCTGGAGTCATGTGGACCTGACTGCCAGGGCTTTAGAAACAGAGAAAAGAGGAAGATCAGAGAGAGTGTGTCAAATGGACAGCCCCCAGGTGGCATTTGAAGAGTGAGAACGATTTCTGTAATAGAGAGAAGTGGAAGAGAGTCCCAGACAAGGGAAGCTTGACTACAGCGAGGCAGATAACAGCAGCACGCTTTGTTGGTCTCCTGCCACCCTGCTAAGAGTTCCATTAGACCATTTTATATGCATCTCAGACAATGCCTCAAAGCAAAAATTCCTCATTGTATAGATAAGGAAATTGAGACTTTGGCCCACATTTGGCCTCAGAGATGTGTGATTCTATGAACTTTCTATTCTGCAAAACTCCACTTAGTTTATTAAATACTGAAAGTGGAAAACAGAATGGTGGGGTGGGTGCCATCATAAAGTTGAAAAATTGTTACGTTAAACCACTGGAAATCGAGGACCATCCAAGTAATCAATGCCTGCAAGTGGACTACAGAGATGCAGGGGTGAGCAAGACAGGCATGTCCCTGGGACCTGAAGTGTCCAAACTAGTAGAGACAGTTAAATGAGCAATTGCAAGACAGTGGGGTTAGCACCAGGTAGGGGAGTGCAGGACACTGGGGAGCACAGGTGAGTACCATCTAAATGGAAGCCCAAAGAATATACATGAGCTGCTTTCAGGCTGTGCAAATTTTATGAAGTAGATATTGTCCTTATTTTTCAGAGGCAGGAGGCAAGGTGCAGCTTTGAATATAAATAAGTGTCACATAGACACACGTGGTAGGACTCAACCCCGGATGGTTCTGGTTGCAGAGTCTGTGATAGTTCTAGCACCCACACTCACTCTCACAAAGGCAGTGGGGGTGGCATGCCCCTGGGCCAGGGAGGAATCCAGGCTGCTGTGTCAAAGCCCTCTGTGAGAAGCCTACTGTGTGCCAGGCACTGTGCCAGCCACTCTGAAGCCGTCTCATGCAATGACAGTTAAAGTTGTGGCACAGGTGAGTTCTCAGAGAAAAGAGGATACAGAAAGAAAAACTGAGCGAAGGGCCAAGGATCCACTGGACATCCAAGTCGCGGTGAAGGGGAATGCAGGTCTTGGCAAGGTCCAAGAGTGTCCCTCCCAGTACCGGCGCTGCCAGAACCTACCCCCACTCAAGAGAAGCCCTTCCCTGTCCCGTGTGGGTGGGAAGAAGAGAGACAGTGTTCACAATCAAGGGACCAGGGGCTGGGGACACAGGAAGAACACACGCAAAGGTCTTGGATCAACAACTCCAAAATATCTCGCTGCTGAATGTGGCCTGGAGACTCCCCGAGCTGGGGCTATTAGTGTTTGCTTTTTAAATCCGCAGAGATTTATGTCGGCAGGAGAAAGAGCACGTAGGAACCGCTGCATTGGGCCTCCACCCCCACCCTCTGTGCTTTGTGTAATTAGTATACCTACCTATGCAGGCAAGGTGGACACCCCCAGAAATTGGGGGGAAGAATGAGGATGGTCCTTGTGCCTCTGCAGGTGATTGTCATGATTATTTCACTAAAAAGACTGCAGTGGTGCTTTACAATGTGAGTGTAACTAAGGGAGAGCTAGTCCCATGGCTACTGATGGAATCTGAGACATCTTAAATAGACCCAACTGAGTCCGATTCACTATGATCCACTTGAGGGGCTTGCAATGGGGGGGGGAGGGGGGGAGCACTTTTCAATCTTGAAGCTCTTACCTGCAGAAACATGTTCAGTTCTCTACCAGCCAAATTCTTAGCAGCCTCCAGCTCTGAGAAATTCTTGTAGTTGGACCCAGGAGGAAACTCTACCTCCCAGGCTCCTGCCCTATTTCTTGCTGCTCCTGGAGCTCTCCCTGTTCCTGCTTCTTGGTAGTCAAACAATATGGCACGGAAAGGAAATGGATCAATAGTTTGGTTCCTGACAGGTGACAGGATTTGGCTTTGTGTTCTCCTCATGTAGAATCTCTGCTGAAGGTGTGGACATCGTTTTGGATTGCCTCTGCGGGGACAACACCGGAAAAGGTCTCAGTCTTCTGAAACCCCTGGGAACCTACATTTTATATGGTGAGTGCTCAACGACAGCAGGGACGTGGTTAGGGGCAGGGCATGTTGCACGTGCACCTTCAGACAGAGGCTCTAAAAAGTGAAATGTGTTGCTATAGTTGGGGATGTGGGTTTGGGGGTGTTTAATTTTTTAATGTTTTCTGTAATGTTTCTATCGCTGTGAGCTGTAAAATAGCAGGTGTGCCTACTGCTCTATATTTTGTCATTTCAAATGGGATCCAACAAGGCCCAGCCAATGTGGTCACTCATATGAGTAGAACCATTAAAGGACTTGACCCACAGGAGGAGGCACAGGTGGAAAATATTAAATTTGTTTTCAAGTTCTTGCCAGTTCTGGACCAAACCACTGCCATTTTTTTTCAAGCACAGCAAGAAATGTTGATTTTTGGTAGCATGGCTTGATTTGGGAATCTTCCATTTGCAGGCTCATCCAACATGGTAACTGGAGAGACCAAGAGCTTCTTTAGCTTTGCAAAATCAGTAAGTATCTGTGCATGCCTGATGTACATACTGGGGTGGCACTTGGATTTGCATGTCGTGAGCCCCTCCGTCACAAGACATTGTCCTAGTCTCGTTTATCCTTCATTTGCATCACTCACTGTCAATAAAGCCCACCTTGCTACCCTGCTCACTGCACATGGGCAGAACCAGGACTTTGGGCTACTTCTGTCTAATCAAAGCATAGAGGTAGGAGTGTCGGGGAAACTCAAGAGAGCTTCATTTTGATTTCAACAGAGATTGCTCAAGTCTTGTTGTTTTTGATCATCAGTCAAAAATGAAATTGGCCTTCATAATATTTATCTGCTCCATAGAGAGCCCGGCCTTTCAGTGTGGCCACTTTCTGACCAGGTCCCTGGGGGGACTTGAGACTTCTCTATGTCCCATCCCACTGCGTGGGAGCTATGAATGGGGACCCTAAAACTTTAACAAGCTCCTCGGGTGATTTTTAGACACAGGCAAGTTTGTGAACCACTGTGTTAGGTGATCATGCTCTGAATGTGGTCACTACCTGTCTGCCATTGAGAAGCCACATCCCTGGGCATTTACCCCACTGCAGACTGACTCAGATCTTTACTCCCATCTAGAGCTGCCTTTGCTAGAATTAAACTAATGTGGGCTTGAGCTTTGATTTTTACCCCACCCACCCTAATAGGGGATTGCTGCTTCTCAAAAGTGCCTGTTGCTCTCCCCTCTGCTCTTGGCCTCCTTTGAAGGTGGTTCAGCATTGATTGATCCGCCCACTTGACAAGCATTTTCCGAGCACCTGCTATTTGTGGCACTGTGCCAGGCCCTGGGATGTCACAGGGAATGAGATAAGTGCATTTTTAAAGAATGTTTTTTAAAGTTTTTCATTTTTTGTTTTTGTTTTTGTTTTGAGACAGAGTCCGCTCTGTTGCCTGGGCTAGAGTGCCATGGCTTCACCCGAGTTTGCAGCAACCTCAAACTCCTGGGTTCAGGCAATCCTCCTGCCTCAGCCTCCCAAGTAGCTGGGACTACAGGCACACATCATCATGTCCTGCTAATTTTTTTTCCATTTTTAGTTGCCCAGCTAATTAAGATAGGTGCATTTTGACCCTTGTGGCCCTTGTATTCTAATGAGAAACAGAAACCCAAAATAAGAAAGACATTAATAACATGGTTATAAATAGCAATCGAACCTCTGAAGTGGATAAAAATAGGGTGCTGAAATAGAAAACAGTGGGATGGGCTGGAGGAACTTAGAATAGTGTGGTCAGGGAAAACCATGGTAAGGAGTTAGAATTCATTCTAAGTATTCATATGCCCCTGGAGTGCCAATCTTGGCTGCTTGAAACTTCACCTCCAAACATCCCGATTCTGAACGGATCCTACTCCCTGCGCTTGTGAGAGTCAAATCAAAGGGACTCTCTTTGCATTTGAGCTTTAAGGTCTAGGTCAAGGATCATCTCGCCTGCAGAGTCTACAGAGGAGCAAGAGTGGAGTCTAATGAAAGACGCTGTCTGGCGTGCACCCCCTGAAGACGAGCTTTGTGCCACTCACAGCTGTTCTGTGCTGTGGCTGTAATTAACGCAATACTGGCAGACTGCCGTGGGTAACCACACTGATCCCAAATTACGTACAATTGTATTATAAAACCCGTCTTCCCTTTCTCCCCCTCAATGCACAATCCCTACACACAGTGTTGACGAAGTAATCGCGGTGAATTCCATGCTCAGTGAAGGCATTCATAAAACACAGCCAGTGTGGCGATCAAGATTCTCTGCCCAAAACAGGGGTGCCCATTACCAGAACGCTTTGTAGCTGGGGGTCAAGAGTGAAGGTGTTCCCTTTCGGAGACCTGGTCAAAAACTAGTTGGCTGATTAGAAGAAAATTAAAGAAAGAGCATGCTGAGAAATGAAATGATGACTGATCTGGAAGGTTCCAGAAAACAATTCTTCTCAATACATTCAAGAAAGGCTCAGAAATTAAAAGTGCATTGGAATCATACATAGAATTTTCACTCAGCTATCTTAATTGTGGTTCATCTTAAAGTTGCTGCAGAGTTTGTGCTTCACTCTTTGTCAAACATGTCATTGACTTTCGTGCCGCAGTGACAATGATACCAACAGGAAATTAACATTTAGGGAACAGTCTGACTCCAAATCAGAGCTCTTCTTCCCCAGCTCAGAAACGTCCCTTTCAAATTAAGATGATAATAAAAATGGCTCATGTTTATAGAGCACCTTGTACATGAAAGACACTGTTCTAAGCACTTTTTATGCATTAACACATTTACTCCTCACACACCCCCACCCCATGAGGTACAGTTAGGCAACTGAGCACAGAGAGGTTAAGTGACCTGCCTAAAGTCACACAGCTAGTAAGTGACAGAGGTGGGATTCAAAACTAGGCATTCAGCTCTAGAACTCTCTTAACTACAACTGCGTGGCAAGTGTAGATTCAGCAAACAATCATGACACAAACATGCATTGAGGTGTTGCAGATACACTGGGAATCAAGTTATTAATTATTTTTCTACTTTTGTTTTGTGCCAGGAAGCCCATGGTCAAATGCATGGCTCTTCTTGAGCCAGCCCCCAGGCCCTCACCAAATGTACTTTAGTAAAGAATTTTCTGTATGAACTTCATCGTTGTTTTCAACTTGTCTTTCCCACACTTATTTTCCTAACATGAGTTTCCCAATTTAAAAAAAAAAAATCAAAGTCTTTTACTTTACGAAGCCTTTTCAATTCTTTTTGGAAAGAGACAGGATATATATATGCACGTCAATAACATAAACATCATAAATGTTCCTTAGTGCCCATCAAACTGCTTGGCATTCTATATCGAAACTGAGATCAAACATTTTACCTCTTAGAACCCTTCAGGCATTGGAAGTTTGAATTTCTAATCTATAGCCAGCACCAAAGGAAAAGCAATTAAATCAGAACAAAGCAATTGGATAACAGTTCCGTAGGTTGCTAATGGATTATTTACTTATCTTGGTGTCTGAAGGTGGGGGAGGAGAGGCTGGAAAAGAGATGGCCACTTTTACCGGTTGGGTGTCTTCCACCCAGGGCTTCTCAACCCTAGTGCTATTGGTAACTGGGGCTGGATAATTCTTTGTTGTGGAGTCTGTCCCGAGCATTGTAGGGTGTTTAGCAGCATCCCTGCCAGCAGGAGCACTGCCCCGCTTCAGCCGTCTCAACCAAAAATATTCCCAAACATTACCAAATGTCCTCTGGCCAGCAAAACTGGCCCCAGTTGAGAACCACTGGTTCAGTCCCAACACTTTGGCTTCGTCATTCCTTCATGCTGTTCCTTCTTCCTAAATTACCCTTCCTTTCTCTTCTTTGTCTGTTGGATTCCTGCCCACCTCTCTGGGTTCAGCCTGGTCATTATCTAGCCCCATCCCCAGGAAAGCTGCTCCTGCGGTTAGAGTGGCCACCTCCACTGTGCCCCCACCACACTTTGTAAACGTCTCTGCCATCCTAACCCTTCACCAACCCGTCCCCACCACCACCGTTCACTACACCAAGTGTTCTACACTGAATTCTTCCAGAACACATAAGAGGCCATATCCTGCCACAGGGGTCAGTTGAGAAAAGTGAAGCCCAGAGAACACTAGGGAGTACGTGGTAGAGGCAGGATTCAACTCCAGAGCTGATGATGCTAACCGTGTTTCAACTACATGTGGCCTTTTAGTAGTTGGTTTTTGGCTCTCTCCCCTATTTAGACCCTGCGCTTCTCATAAGCATCGCTGTCTGTTGTCTCTGCACACTCACAGCAGTGCCTAGTGAAATAGATGCTTAAAAAAACATACCACCAAGATCTGGTGCGGCGGCTCATGCCTGTAATCCTAGCACTCTGGGAGGCCAAGGTGGGAGGATCACTTGAGCTCAGGAGTTCAAGACCACCCTGAGCAAGAGTGAGATCCCATCTCTACCAAAAGTAGTAAAAATTAGCTGGATGTGGTAGCGCACACCTGTAGTCCCAGCTACTTGGGAGGCTGAGGCAAGAGAAATCAGTTGAGCCCAGGAGTTTGAGGTTGCTGTGAGCTAGGCTGACTCCATGGCATTCTAGCCTGGGCAACTGAGTGAGAACCTGTCTCAAAAAAAAAAAAAAAACAATGAAACAAAAAACACCACCAAGAGCTACCCCTTGACCAGCTAGAATCTGCTCAGCTGGGGCTCCACACTCCCCTAGACAGCTGACAATGTTGGCAATGCTGCAAACGTGGCCCACTGTTGGGTCCCTCTAACCCGGCACCATCTTTCCTTGCAGTGGTGGCAGGTGGAGAAAGTGAACCCCATCAAGCTGTACGAAGAGAACAAAGTCATCGCGGGGTTTTCCCTTTTAAATCTGCTCTTCAAACAGGGCCGGGCGGGCCTCATTCGAGGAGTGGTGGACAAACTCCTAGGGCTCTACAACCAGAAGAAGATCAAGCCGGTGGTGGACTCCCTGTGGGCTCTGGAGGAGGTAAGAATGGGGCTCAGCAAATCACCTCCTCTTTTTAACCCGGGCAGGTTTGGACAGCCAAATACAATCCTTTACTAAATGATTTTTTCCCTCAGATTTCTTTGTTTTAAATGAAGGTCCTAAAAGTCATTTTCCCATAGTATAGTACTTCGGAGTACTAGAGTACTCCAAAGAGTACTTTCTTACTAAAGTAAGAAATACTTTAAGTTCCTTAGTGGTTCTCAAACCATGTGCTTCACCACGCCATTTGTGCTAGGAACCTTTTCCAGGGAGGCCATCAAGTTTTGATGGATGTGTACAATTCACTCTTGGACAGTGTGGACATCATTGCAGCCTCATGTATGTTGCTGCCTTGGGAGTATGTAAGAGACCACACAATGGCTCAGAGCTGAAATGATTTGTGTGCTAAGACTGATACTTTGAGCCCCTGAGAGGTACCAACTATCGTGATGGGCTTTGGACTGATTGCTGAATTGTTGGGTCCAGTGTTGGATTGAGTCTTTTTGTTAATTAATCTGCCGAAAGTCATAGTATGTGAAAGCATTCCTTGATCATGAAAAAATTAACAACCCCTAATGTAGCCCTGAAGCATGAGCTGGTTGTATCGGTTCATACAGGACTTGCTAGGAGGAGTCAGGGTCTGGAAAAATCTGTCAGGACAAAGGAAGGTTTGGGCATTTGGGAAGTCAGTTGTGGCAGCTACTCGTGAGGAGAAATGAAGAGATGTGTGGCCTGGGTTTCAAGAGGCATTTCATGAAAAAAAATTTTCTCAGTCAGAATTGTGTGACGTTGGTGTTGGGGAGCAATAAAGCCCTCATTTTAAAATATGTGGAAAAGTTCTTTTGTTTGTTTGTCTTGCATTTTGCGTGAGTGAGATGCCTTATGGTATGAGTACTTTTTTGTGCTTTTAGGAGTCACAGACAACTTTTAAAAAATCTAACAAGCACTAAGTTCTATGGAACAGATAGTGGGGTGGGCTTCTGGCAAGAGGGCTGTTGCTATTTGCCTAATGGACTGAGTTGGCCCAAATCCAGTGGCTTCTCTAAAAACAGAAATCCCCCCCAAAAAAGACCCTTTGGGGAGGTCACTGTATAATCAAATACAACTGGTCCTGGACCAGTGAATGTGCCTATATATGTCTCTCTAACACCACAGTGTCATGGATGGTCTTAAAACCCCAACTACCAAAAAAACGTACACATTACAGAAATTCCTAAATTAACTAAAAACATAAGGAGAAAATAAACAGCACATTCCAGGGAAGGATAACGTCATGAACATTTTGGTTTGCTTCCTTCCAGCCTTTTTTCTATTGCAGATGCTCACCGTAACTCAGTTTATTGCTAAATCAAATCTGATCATCGTGCGTGCTGTCTGCTGTGTCATTGCTAATAGGGCTAGCCTGTTGCTATAATTTTCTTGAAAACGTTTGTAATGAGTTAACACATCCATACGGTATTCACTATGGCATCTCAGTGGAACAGGGCAGGGTTAGGCTACATGGTTCCTGTGTTCTCAAGGGTCAAGAAAGAGAGGAAATTGGAATAGTCAAGACCAGGGCTAAGAGAGGACCTTGCCCATGGGGCAGAGAAGGGGACCTATGCTTGAACTCAGTGCCCAAAGAGACCCAACAAATCAGTAACATTTCAGCAAGGATTGAATCCAAGAGGGGTCCAGTGCGTTCTTGTTCTAGTACATGAAATCACTCCTTGGTCACAATGGTAACTCAATCACCAAGTATTTATTGAACAACTACTATGTGCTTGGTAATGTGCAGATGCTGGAGATACAATGGTGAACAGATGGCAAGATCCTGAGACTTCATGTAGTTTACATTCAGAGCAGAGGGAAGGGAGAGAAAATACTGACGTAAACAAAAATAAGCAGGACAATTGCCAATTGTGGCAAGTTTGCGGAAGGAGATAAATTAGGGTATATGTTGGTGAATAAGTGGAGGCAGGAGACTTAGTTTCCACAGAGCAGTGTTTCCCAATCTCTTTTTCATGGTTGTCCCCTAAGTAGCTTCTTTAGACATTATTTTGCCTAATCGACACCCCCATGAAATTTTAATATATATATGTGTATGTGTCTATATGTGTGTATATATATATATATTTATGTCCTGAATGTATATCTGTGCTTTTATGCATCAAATGAGTAATGTTGAGGATTGCTCAAGGCCAGGAGTTTGAGACCAGCCTGGGCAATATAGCAAGATCCTGTCTCTATAAAAAAAAAAAATTAAAAGCTTAGCCAGGCATGTTGGCACATACCCGTAGTCCCAGCTACGGGTGAGAGGCTGAAGCAGGAGGATTGCTTGAGCCGAGGAGTTTGAGGCTTCAGTGATCTGTGATGATGCCTGGGCAACAGAGCAAGAAGACCCTGTCACTATTTAAAAAAAAAAAAAAGAGTAATTTTTTTAATCTTCCAAAAACCAATTTTCACCCCATTGGGGTGATACCATACTCATTGAGAATGCATGCTGTAGAGTGACTTTAAGGAAGGAAGGTTTCTCTGAATATGTGTCATTTGAGTTGGGACATGAAGGAGGCAAAAAACTGAAGACGAAGAACATTCAAGGCAGAGACACCCTCAAAAACAAAGGGATGAGGAAAGATCTTGGTGAATTCCAGGGATGGGTTGCTGTGAGCCAAGGAGGGAATGGTGCAAGGAGAGTCTGAACAGGTCAGCAAGAGCCAAATGGAAATCTGGATCTTACTGCAAGCACCATGGGGGGCTGCCATAGGGTCAGAGTCAGGAGATGCCCTATCCTGGCCACCAGGGCATTGTCCACCAGGGAAGAAGCTGAAATTGCTGTGCAGGGCCGTGGGCAACTACAGAAGTCTGATATTCAAGGCAGATCTGAATCCAGCTAAGGAATGGGAAAGGCACACTAAATTACAGACTGGGAGACCTCATAGCGGGGAAGCTCAGCCCTCATTAGGGAGGGTCTGCCGAGGCACAGATGGTGCATAGAAACTGGCAGGACTAATTCCCAACCTTCACGCGTGCTGGAGTTGTCAGGACCGGCTCAAGGACTGAGTCCACTGAGGATGCCGTGCAAGGGGACCCAGGACCAGCACTCGCCGGAGGGGGGAAAGCCAGGGCTGGCAGCTTGCTTGACTGAGGCATGGGTCATGTATGAGCAAGTCCGGACTTTACCTTGACAACACTTCCCGAGTCCACACACTTCCTTCCGTCTCCATGCCCGGCACTGTTGTCAAAGCTGGTCTCCCTCCTGCAAGGAGCCTCCTGCCTGGCTCCTCATTTCCATCTCGCCCCTGTCCAGGGCAATCTGCCCAGCGGCTGGAGCACACGTAGCAATACCCGAGCCAGACCATGGTCCACCTTGCTCAAAACCCTCCCCTGGCTTCCTCCCGTACCTGACATGCCGTCCAAATGCCTTGCCAAGGGCTATAAGGCCCTGCCCACTCTGACCCCTGCCCGCCTCATCAGCCTCACTCTGTCCACCTAACACCTCTGTCCCAGCTTCAGCTGAGCGCATGTTTCTGGTCCGGGAGCCTCCCCCGCCCCCAGCCTTCCCGGTCTTTAGCCTCTGAGCCTGTTGCTTCTTCTGTGTTGGACACTCCTCCTCCCGATTTTTGCCAATCTCCTTCCTTCTCATCATTCACGTCTCAACTTCAATATGACCTATGCAGAGAGGCCTTCCCCAAACCCCTCTTGCATCTCTCTCCCCTTACCCTGTTTGGTACGCTCCATGGTACCTCTCACTGGTTGCAAGGATCTTGTTCTTTTATTTGTCAACATGTTTAGACTCTTGCCTCCCCTCCCTAGAACATAACCCCTATGTGAGGAAAGACTAGACTGTGTTGTTCCAGACCCCAGGGCCTGGCACAGAGGAGGTGTTCAATACATACATATTATGGGAGTAAATTAACAAATCCACCAACACACAGAGATGTGACCAGTTGGATATTTTCTGTGCTTAGCAATAAATATTTGTTGAATGAACAAATGAGTGAATGAACAAGCTGTACTAAAAAAAAGATATTACTTTAAGACAGGGTTTCTCAAAAAAAAAAAAAAAAAAAAAGACAGCAGAGGTTCTCAACCTGGGCATGAATGACATTTGAGACTGAATAATTCTTTGTCGTGGGGGCTGCCCCAGGCATTGTAGGATGGTTTGCAGCAGCCCTGGCCTCTGCCCGTTAGATACCAGTAGCACCCTCCTTACCATCAGCCGTGGCAATGAAAAATGTCTCCAGATGTTGTAAAATATCCCCTGGGTGGGACAAGGGTGAGGGACAAAATCACCCCTAATTGACAAGCGCTGCTTCCAAAGAAGCCATGATGGATGGTTAATATAGTCACCAGCAAGAAAAAGGAGTTTGAGGTCCCCATAGCAGGCTCGTCTTCCATAGAGAGGAGGCAGACGGCTGCTGCCTGTTTGCCAACAAGACCATCCATAGCCAGTCATCAGTAACACCCACCCACTTTCTGAGGGTTTTCTGAAATATTTACAGACATCTGTTTAGAGCTGCAGTTGGACCAAATTTGGCTATTTATCAAGCCCACGCAGCTCTCTGGGCTTGGAGAGAGGATAGCATGCTTATTACTTGCAAACCTCAGAAGGGGAATGTAATGATTTTTCCCCTCCCCTTTGGTAAACGATTGCACAAAATTGCTTTTCAGGCCAGCTCTATAACTTCATCTGTGGACTATAAAGCCAATAGGGATTAAAAGAAAATTTTCTTGGGCTCTCTGAACCCTCAAACTAGAAGATTTAATAATATCAGAAATGATTAAGGTTTCTTTTTAGCCATCTGTCTCTGACTTTATTGTCAGAGATTTAATTTAATACACAAAGCAGAATGGGTCTACTGCAGCCTCAGGTTTGCTTCCAGACACAAATTGTGCAGCCATACGTTAAGATGGGGGAAAAGTTAACCTCTCCAAACAGTTCAGAGGTAGGAAAGGGATGAAAACATGCTTGCATTTGTCAACCAAGCAGCAGTAACATTGTTGAGCACCTACTATGT